TGCCTGTCACCTAGTTACCTGTTCTTTAAAATCTTAGGACTTGTTAGGGGAAATAAACACAAAATATTTACAAATTTAAGTCAGAGAAAAGCTATTGAACAAATTATCTGCTGTTGATTATTTTTATTTAACAGTGGATTTTGAAGAGAAAATGTTGATCAAATCAGTTATCTTTATTTCAGTAATATTTTATTATGTATAAAAACAAACAAGTGATGTAGCTTTAATTTCTGTTAACTTTTATGTGAGATTATTTCAGATGTGGAGAAAAATTGCTAAATGTCACAGAGATGTTCTGAACACCCTTCCCTCACGTTTACATTCGCTGTATCTGTTTTCTCTGTGTGTCGTCTTTACCTGAAACATTTCAGAGTAAATTGCCGGCCTGGTGTCCCTTTACTCCTAAATATGTTTGTGTTTCCTAAAAACAAGAACATTGTTTTACATCACCACAGTACCATTGTCAAAATCAGGATATTAACATTTACTCATTATCTATCAGCCAGTCTAGAGGTCGTATTCAGATTTCACCAGTTGTTCCCTTAAAGTCTTTTACAATAAAAGAAACACATTTTCTGGTTTGGGAGCCTATATTACATTTACTTGTCATACCTCTTTCTATCTAGAACAGTTCCTTAGTCTTTTATTTATTTATTTATTTTGGGGTCAACTGTGGTCTTTACATTTTTTCATGAGCACAGGCCCTTTACTTTATAGAACATCTCTGATTGTGCATTTGTCTGTTTTCTCATGATTATACCGAGGCTCTGCTCATTGGCAAGTCTGAGCACTGCACCCGAGAAACGTGCTGTTTATCCCATTACTGCTGCGGTTGGCTTGGTTAAGGTGGTGTCCCTTGCATTTCTTTACTGTACAGTTACTACTTTTCCCTCTGTTGTCAATAAGGTATCGTATAGGGAGATACTTTGAGACTGAAAATATCATTATACTTTCACCCACTAGTTTTAGATACTTCCTAGTTTGTATTTAGTGAGGAGTAAGGCTAAAGATTACGGTGGCAATGGCAGACACAGTGCCAGAAAGATTTGTTTTTCTAAGTTCATCACTATTGAAGTTTGATACATTAAGAACTCAGAGGTGAGGCAAAACCAAATTTACCTTACTGTTGCATTTGATAAGCTCAGTTATTTATTTTTGGGGGCAAATACATTTAAAGCAACAAATATATTTGAAAACAGTGGCCAAAGGTCTAAACACAAACACTGACATTAGTGACAGCTTGATGGTGATCGAGAAGACAAAACTAAATTAAAATAGCAAATGGGTTAATAGAAAATTGGATGTTTGTGACCATCTAATATAGGCATGTAGAACTATATATACTCACTGTAGCATGATTGTGTGTGATTATGTTCCATAATATGACATATGATTGTAGTTGTTTGTACCTATTTGAACAAAACATTCATGGAAAGATAGAGGCATTGCCAACATAGACAGATTTATCAGCTACTAATAAACCCTGCAGAGTGCACACTGTCTCACTGATCCCAATCAGAAATTTGTCTTTGAGAATTCAGAAATTTTGACTTGTTTTGGGTTTTTTCTTTTCCTTTTCCTTTTCCTTCCTTCCTTCCTTCCTCCCTCCCTCTCTCCCTCCCTCCCTCCCTCCCATGTGATTTTTTTGTGTGGGGGTGGGGGTTAGGCCTTTGTTGACTAAATCATAAGATTTATCTATCAGAATGTCAACATATTGATCTTCAAATGGTGACTCATACTATTTAGTGTATCCCTTATTCATATGCTTCTTGGAACTAGCACCCATTTCTGTTGGGTAAAAAAATATTATGTATGAAGCCAGGTCTGTAAAAATTTGGTGAGGCTAGTCACAATAAGGGAATTCAGTTTTGTATTTTGAATGTTTAAGACATTGTTTCTAAAAGTGTGTTCCATGGAATTCTCCCAGAAGGATATCCTATAAAAGGAGGAGGGGTGTGGGTTAAATAAGCACCGTAAGATACCCTCCTCTTGAGAATTCCAAAGCATTGTGACAGATTAATGAGTCTTAGGAGTCTTTCTTAAAAGCACATGTTTAATGTAGTTGAAGTCAATGTTTCCCAAATAGAAATGACACAGAAACCTTGTTTATTTTTTTTTTCCTTTCACATAACAGCCCTCAGAATATACATTTATTGGCATTAGACTTGTGTAGATTTTTCCTTTAGGTGGAACAAGATGAACTCGTCAGCCTACCAGCAAACTTTGACCCTCCTTCTTTGTATTACCTTTCATTCCAGGTGGTTACCTTCACTTTCCATTGATCCTCCCTCCCTCCCTTCCTTTCTCCTTTTTTTTTTTTTCCTCCTTTTAAAGATATTTTTTAAAACTTCTGTTGAATTATATTTTGGCCTGGGAGCTGTTTTGTCTCTTTGCATATCTCTGTTTTCATCTCTTTAAGTACTGAGTTTGACTTGCAGAGGGGACCTGTTTCCAAATTCTCGGAAATGGGGCTATACATGGTTATTTAAACAATGTTACGCTTACAAGATTCCTGGTAATAATAGTGCAGGGTCTAAAGGAAATGTTTCATACCATCCAGTTGAATAACTTCATTTTAATTCTATTAAAATGTGTTTAGGAAGATTTCTTTAACAATATCTGAACCTTAGTGGATATATTTTTTAAATTCTGGAAGTAATCATTTTGCCTTTAGCAGCTAGTTATTATTTTAGTTATCTACTTAATTATTTTATTTTGAAATGCCTGCAGCTCACTAATTTAGATTGTAAAATGTGCTGTTTCTGTTCTATAATTCTAAGTTGCAGTAAAGAGGTCCATTTTTGGATTCCATTCAATAATGGGTCTAATGTACTTTTTTCTTACACAGTTACAGAGACATCTTCTAAGGTAAAACAGAGCCTTATAATGAATTTCTATCTTTAAACTTTCATTTTTTTGAAGATTTATTTATTTGAGAGAGAGAGCACGAGGGGTGGGGAGCCCAATGGTGTGGCTGCATCCTGGGACTCCAGGATCATGACCTGGGCTGAAGGCAGTCGCTTAATCAACTGACTCACCCAAGTGCTGCCCCTGTCTTTAAACTTTCATAATACTGTGGTTTATAAAAGACAACAGCTCATAATTATGTAGCAGTTTATGTTTACTACATTTTTTAAAAAGTTGTTCATTATTATTATTTAGTAATATCTACACCAATGTGGGGCTTGAACTCATGACCCCGAGATCAAAGATTGCATGCTTCACTGACTGAGCCAGCCAGGCACCCCAATTTACTACATGTTTTTATATACATTTTTCCACGAAGAAAATAGGAATGTCGTACCATCTCTGGAGTGACCTGAATTCCAACCCTGCCTCTCCCATTTACTCTAGATGTGGCTCTGGATTTGCTGCTCATTTATTCATTCATTATTTATTTATTTGCCTAGTATATAGTGCGTACTTTTCTGGGCACTAGACATAGAAGGAGTTAATCATAGAATAGAGTTAAATCATTCACTTAACTTTTAAAACTGTTTTTTCACCTAACGAGGTGTGTGAATAGTATTGATTTAAAGCCCTTGGCACACAGTAGGCTCACTTTGAATAGAGTGGTAAGATGGTTTCTCACATAAAATTTGTTTCTAGCAATAAGAGATGGGCATTTACACTTGTTCCTTTCTTGTTATATTTGTCATATAGAATCTTGTTTCTCAAAAACCATATCTTTCAAAAATTTATTTTTTGAACTATCTAATAAGATCTTTATTTAGTGTCACATTTATTTTACAAAGGGTAGATGCTTATTTTAGCGATGATTTTGTCATTAAAATTATGTCAAAATGTCTTAAAATGTTGTTGAAACTGTAAACAAACTCATAACACACACAGAGCTAATTATGGATGCCATCTGTTTATTTTTACAAAGCTTTTTTTTTTTTTTTTAAGACCATGGCATTGTCTGCTTCTGATAAGCTTCAAGATTATTATAATGACTAAGTCCTGTCCTTCAATTAGTGAGTTGAAGATGGGAAGACAATTCTTTTGTTCATTGACCTTTCCCCGTGTCAGAGTGTATAAAATTAGACATGTCATGATAAAGAAACTATTATGAAGTGCATTTAGAACATGCTTAATTTTTATGAGATAAGAAATTGGTATTAAAACAGCAGATGTGGCCGAACTTTTATTTAAATTTCTAGAACTTATTCAGGGATTTCAGTGAAAGACAGATCATCTGCTCTTTATCAGTGCTGTAAGTGGCTTTATTTTAGCTTTGTTAAGTTTAGGAACTTGTAAGCAGTCAAACAAATTCATAATGATGTGTATCCCTGTTAGTATCCCTATATGTCGGTGCATGTTTTTGTACATGTGTATCCCATGTGTGAGTATGGAAGGCTAGGGATCCCCATGACAGCATCTTCCAAAGTAGTTATCAGCAATTTGCTGAGAAAGCAGAGTGATTTCACTGGCTCAGTTTTGCTATTGTGCATGCTAAGCACTCCCTGTGTAAGTCTGAAGGGAGAACAACCTGCAGGATCCATCTGCTCCTTTCTGCTAAACTGCATTGATGTAAGAGTACGCTAATCTGGTTGCTTGTCAGGACAGGTTAGTGAAAGCATGAGACTGGGTGAGACTACGCTAGCCTAGTGCTTTGGAAAATCATAAGCTGCCTTTGTGGATGCCATGCTAAGTGTAGCAGAATAGGTTGATTATCAGCCATATGGAGGATTGCAGCTAAATATATAATTTTCAGATAGGAAGTAGTTTCAAAATTGAAAGTGTTAAACATTGCGAGATGACATTAATTAAAAATGGAAACAAGTAATACAGATAGTTTACAAATACTTTTTAGGTATTTTTTTTAAATCATGCCTTGTATGAGATTGTGTTTAATTTTATTCTCTTAGTTTTTTAAAGTGATTGAATGTTAAATATAATTAACCTCATTTTACCCATAAGTTATTGAACTTGTTTTGCTTATTTCTGTTTATTTACCTTTTCCCACACGTATTGATGGGCTCATATTGGCCTTGCAGGTTGAGCATCCCGTCACAGAATGCATTACCGGCCTGGACCTAGTCCAAGAAATGATCCGTGTTGCCAAGGGTTACCCTCTCAGGCACAGACAAGCTGATATTCCCATCAACGGCTGGGCAGTTGAATGTCGGGTTTATGCTGAGGTAAAATGAATGATGTTGAGAGGAAGGGTGACGGTTGTGTCCCAAAGTCATGGGACCAGGTAGAGATAAACAGAAGGTAAAGTTAGGGTTTCATAATTGGTGTTGAGTATGTGCTTATGTAATACAGAATCCAATCGGAACAAAGGGTAGACAGTTTTGACATAAATCAAAATAGTTTTAAAAGATTGAGTTTGATTAAGTTCTATGTGTTTTTCCTGGATGGGAAAAATAGCTACCATCAGTTTAAGGGCCAACAAAGCATTCGTTAAATGCTCTTGCTTTTGTTAAATCTCCAGTATGCTTGAATGGACCATGGTTTTTGTTTTGTTTGCTTGTTTTCCAAATCACATTTGAAGTAAACAGAAACAATTATTTCTGTGTTTTTGTTTGTTTTTTAGAGCCCACCCTGGGTACACATGAGTTGTTAATTCAGTATTTACTTAAAATTTTTGCAAGTTTATTTTCTAATAATTTTATCCCTTATGCTTACATTGAAAGTAGCAGTTAAAATTTAAATTGCAAAACTTTGATTCATAATTTTAATTATGGATTTTACTCCTAAACTGTCAGTCCAATACTTTTATACTATTTTATAACTGTATTAACTAGATAATAAAGCAGTCAGTATCTGAAAATGCTTTTTTCAAATGATTAAAATAATTCAAGGAAACATTTGTACTATGTTTCACTTTTAGAATTCGAAGTTTATCAAAACGAAAAGTAAATTAATAGTATCTGTGTCTAAGAATACTGGAAGTTGTTTTGAAATGTTTTTTAAAGTTCTTGAGAAGAATATGCTTGGCCTGGTTATTCCTGCTTTTATTATATTTTAAGTGGTATTGTTAGGACACTGAACTTACTTAATATTTATTCTGATGATCTAAGATATTTACAAATGGAGCACATATCTAATAGCACATGCAAAGTTTCTTTCAGGTCTTTATTTGAAGAACTAAAATTCTCCAATTTTACCGTATGTGAACTGTATTGAGAGTAAGAAAACAAATATCTTTAGCGTACTACAGTTGTTGTTCTGAACTTGAGGATGTTTTGATGTATTGCCTAGGTTATTTTATTTTTGCCCAAACCATTCTAAGAAGATTTATAAAATGTTGGAATTTTACCAATTTCAATAAAGTATGACTAAGGTCAGGCTAAATTCTGCTTACAGTTCTGTTTGATTTTTAAATACTTGTCTAAGTAGTCTATAGAGTGAGTATAAGACAATAATATTCTGAAATCTGTGATTTGGTAAATACTGTATATTGAAAATAGATCTATAAATGCTTCTTCATTGTATAAATATTTAACCTTACTTTGCTGATTTATATTTCAAAGACTGTGCTTCCTTTCCTTTGAACTTTCAGGACCCCTACAAGTCTTTTGGTTTACCGTCCATTGGGAGATTGTCTCAGTACCAAGAACCAATACATCTACCTGGTGTAAGTCATTAAGCTGTAATACCAAGTGAGGGGTTAAAACCTTGATTTATGTCATACTTTTATGTTAAAGCATGTCAACACTAAAGGGTGTAAATTGAAGGACAAGTGAAATTCCTGGGGAATGGCAGTTTTTTGTTGTTTTTAAAAAAATATTTTGTACTTTGTGATACATAAGGTCAGAATTCACTTCACAGGGGAAGTCCAGAGACATCTGACTTGTAAATAAATGATAGTTTACAATGTTCCCAATTCTTTTGAAAATTGTACTGAGAAAGATCACAGAATCCTAAGAATGGGAAATGGCTTTCCTGTATTACACTTTAATCTTTTCACTAAATCTAACCCAGATTCCCTGTATAGTCAGATGTCAAAAATTCAAGCACAAAATCAGCCCCTTAATAGAAGTGGATTAAGTAAAACAAAGTACGCCTCATTCTATTAAGTGTCATGGACTTTAAGAAGTACATATTTCTACCAGTTAAAGAAAAGTGATCACTGTCCACCTAATTCCTAAGTCTTCTATATTTAATAGCTGTTCTTTAAATAGTTTTTGCTGCATAAAAAGAACAAGGACATACCCTTTTTCTTAATCAAGGTAATAAGTGCATATATATATGACATTATGTTAACTAGTGGATGACAAGGCTGTACCATCTGTGAATATGATTATTCAGTTTGATTACTGGCATGAAGATGGTGAAAGATTACAGGAAGGATTCTAAATTCGAAGATGTTATTGGATATGTGATTTATTTCACTTTTTAAATTGTTTTTGCCCATATGCCTTCTGAAGAGACTTGACCCTTTCTAGGCTGGGAGACTCCATGCTGTGTTCAAAGCCTGAAGGCAGAACAAAAATTGTAAAGATTTAACAGGTATTATGTGACATTAAATAGCAGATGAGAAAACAAGTATCATAGGGACATATCTAAACATTTTTTTAATCAAACAAAAAAGTATTAAATAAGAATTCATAATGATTACTCTAGTTGTTAGAAGTTTTCACCATGTTGTAATAGCTAACAGGATGTCAAACATTTTGCCCTCGCAAGTTTTTGCAATTTGCAATTTTCAAACGTGAGACCTGTTGAAAGTACAAGTGATAATGGACAAACTATACCCCCTACAGTCTTTGTCCCACCAAATCTTTCTTCAATTAATGCTGCAGCAGGAGTTTTATGTAATAACATTTGCAGTTGTGAGCCATCCATAGAAAGCAAAAACAATTAAAATGCCTTAAATGTTCTGCTTACTGCTGTTATTTGCTTGTGTGAATGTTGCATGTCAGCTAAATGGACCAAGGAATAGATAAAGTGATTGGGTGCGGGAGAGTGCACACCAAGCTTTGTCTATCATTATTGCTGGGAGCAATCAAATTGATGTCAGCAGGACAGTAGATGCGTTGACAGCTGTAATTATGTATCTCCATGGTGATCACTTTTGGCCTGTCATGGAGGCCCACAAGTCCCCTCCCTTGGAAGCATTTAATCAGATTGGGCTGTCACTTGTCAGGTAGACATTGCGGGCTGGGAGTTGGACTGAGGGAGAGAGGTGAATCGAGCATGAAGGGTGGGAGACGGCTGATAGTTTCACACGGTCCACCGTTGATACAGAAGAAAGACATTTAAATTATGCCAGAGGTTTCTGAGCAATGGCTTGAGACCCTCATACACAGGTGCCTGGGTGGTGGTGGCGGTGTGGTTTTTCCTCCTTGCCCCTTCAACGAGATCAGTCAGTTTTAACTTGGGAAACTCTTTTTGGCTGTACCTTTTTTGTCACAAGAATACCCTACTTCATGGGCGCCTGGGTGGCTCAGTCGTTAAGCATCTGCCTTCAGCGCAGGTCGTGATCCCAGGGTCCTGGGATCGAGCCCCGCATCGGGCTCTCTGCTCCGCGGGAAGCCTGCTTCTCCCTCTCCCACTCCCCTTGCTGGTGTTCCCTGTATGGCTGTCTCTCTCTCTGTGAAATAAATAAAATCTTTAAAAAAAAAAAAATACATACTTCAGAGTTAATTTACAGGCTGTACTTTTCACATGGTTCTTTAAGCCTAAAATTTACTTCTATGGCATTGATGAAGATTTAAGAAAAATCTTTGATCACCACATTTTGTAAATTTGTTATTTTCAGACTGCAGTTTTGTTCTGCTCAGAAATTTGGTTACATTTCCATTTGACTTTATTCTTAAAACTTTTTGTGCCAAAGCTAAATATATTTTTTTGTGTAGCCTTTGTTTCCATAGAGGAATGGTGACTTAGTTTGACTTTTAATTCATTGTTAGAAATAAAAGCTGATGATTATTTGAAAAAAGCTATGTAAGTAGGAAATTATAAGTCAGAGTCTTCATGCTTTGTTACAGTTTTAAATTGGAAATGTTGATTGGCTAATGAAATGTGTTTGATTAGCGATGTGTGTTGATTACGTATAATACCTCTTGATTTTCCCCTATGTATTTTTAAATTAAAATGACATATCTTCTGTGATCATAATTTTAGTAGATGACATGGTTATATCCAAGAGCCCTGGGTAACTTAACTTTTAGGATGGTGTTGTTCAAGGTAACTAAGACTTTAAATTATGAACTATAGAAGAAAGTAATAAATAATCTTTATTGTCTGTTATTTGACCAGTGTGTTGAACAGCAGAGTTCCACACTAGCCTTGTAGCAATTTATGTAGCAAATAGGATATACTTAAAGTCAAACATTTTAGAATTTGTACCAGTCTCAATTTGAAACACAGCTTTAGCAAGCATGCTCTGGTTTTAAATAACAATACATGGAGGTAAAACGAACTCTTTTAACTTTTTGCTACTAAAATGAAGAAAATGGAAGTTCAGAAGGCTCTTTTCTCTAAGTTGGTTGCCAGCTGCCGTTTGGGGTCTGTTTAAATGTGGGGAGAGAGTAGATTATAATTTTATTGCTTTCACAGCTGTCCCATTAATTCTTTTCTAGTTTTTATAAACACTGTGAATTTCAGTTTCATAGAACTAAAGTATGTTTCCAGAAAATAGAAAGCCAAGATATGTTTAAGTGTGCTGAGTGACTTTCATTTAAAATCGATTTCCATACATGAATGTGAATGTAAATACAAATATCCATACTTTTGTGTTTGCAAATACAGAAATAAAAGCACTCTGGGTATGTTACAGTGTTATCTTCTGAAGCCTTACAAAGAGAATAGTGTTAGTGCGATTTTTTTTTTTAAGAGAATGAAACTATGCTTTATCTTTTGATGTCACCGTATAATAAAGCCATCATCGTACCCTCATGTGGATATCCTAGACAAGAGGTTCTACATGCGGTCCCTTGATAATTGCCTAAATTAAAATATTAAAGGCCTAACAGCCGCTGTGTTGACCTTTTTCTGCCTTGCTGCAGACAGATGAGCTGCTGTTTATTAGGAAGGCTTCTTCCCACAGGTGAAGAGCTACGTGAGCTTCCACTCTTCTCTTCCCACCCCTTTACAGTGTTGGGCATCAAAGTCCTGCTGTTCTAGCAGCTTCGATTAAATTCCTCTATCTTCAAGACCCCTAGGACATGCTTGACAGTCTTAAGTATTTTGATTAGCTTTTAAATACTTCAGATTCCAAAACTTAGGCACAATAATTTAATAAATATTTCGTCTTCAGCAACTGCTCATTTTAAAAGTTTTACATGGCTAACCTCTGTGCCTTACTGCTGGTATCAAACTGGGAGAGGAAAACAAGAATCAGCGATGTACTAACTAACTTGTTGGCTGTTTAACAGCAATCAGACTCTTCAAAAGAATATTTTGAACTTGTGCTATTTTTTGCCCCCATGAAAATCGCAAAATCAGAACTCTAATTGGGGCTGTGTCCTTACAAAGCAAAGCTATGAGAAAAGCTGTGTAAACATTAAAGTCTTGGGGGACTAACAGTAACAGAGAAAAAATGTTGTACAGTTGAGAGGGTAAGGCAAAAAAGGAAAGTGTTATAGACATGAAAGCCGCAGGACCAGTGTTCCTGTAGAGCTGATGAGCAGAACTCCTAATCCTGCTGCCTGGCTTGACTGGGGTCCTCCCTGGAGCTCTCAGAAGGGTAGAGTGGGGAGTGTGCCTAGAAGGGGCATCATTCATGCCGTGCTTCAGTTGGAAGACACCATCAACTAGCTACAAATGCATCCCAGGATAGTGATGTATAAAGTCATAGTATTGTTATTTTTTTGAGGTTTCTTAGTTCCTTTGTTTAATGAAAGAACAAAAAATACATTATACTGCACAGTAACAGATGAAGATAATTTGGTCTCTATATAGTTTAGATCATTTTTCTGTTTTCCGGAAGCTGAAAAGTTACTTGAGATTAAATTATCCACATGCTCCTTAGAAATTAAAATTGTTGTGAGAAAAATATCCGCACAATATGAAGTTACTTTCGTTTCTTTTTTTCTCCCAGGTCCGGGTTGACAGCGGCATCCAGCCAGGAAGTGATATTAGCATTTATTATGATCCAATGATTTCAAAAGTTAGTTCGATTTCTTAATAGCTTTGTTCGTTCTTCTTCTGAAGAGACAGTGGAAGTATTTAATTAAGAAAATCTGAAATGGAGCTTTTCTCTGAATCATGTGCTGTAATTTTATAATTAAACAAGTAATTGTGCACTGATGGAAAAGTGAAATCAGAGCAGATTTTCTTCCTCCTGAGAAATTTCAATACCATGTTAGTTTGTAACACTCCCCAATCAAGTCAGTCAATGGTTCTTCCCCGGTCAAATCTCAAATGGAATGATGATCCCCTTTCCCAACAGTAGCAAAGTTACCTACCCAGTGGCTCCATCGCAGCCACATACAGTGAAGATGAATTAAATTGTTATTTGGTCATTCCTGAAAATTGCCTGAGATAGAAGTATGAATGGCAGGCCATATCAAAGAATTGGGGTGATAAGTCATGTTTTTTGGAGTACTTTTTACCATTTTTCTTCAATTTTTATGAATCAGTAATTTGTGGGGATTGCACATAATTAAATTTTATGTAAGAGTATAAGATGTCTTTTGGTCCACCTGTCTTTGAAATTTGACTTTCCAGAATAACAATGCTGCTTAAATTCTTAGATTGTTAGAATTGTAAGATCTCATAAAATGTAGAATTCTGACTGCAGAATTTACTAAAAACCCTTTCTTAAGATGATGTACTTACAGCAAGCGAACCAATTTTTATTTATCTTTTTTCACTAAGTTTTTACAGTAGCATTATTAAAGTGAACTTTAGATAATTTGGTTGTTAGGGAACCACTATTTAGTTTAAAAATAAGAAACAAAAATATTATAGATTGATTTTGAGTAGATGTGGTTCCATTTTTGATGAATACATTTCTGTTCAGAAACGTGGCCTACAAATTTTCAACCTGGCTTGACACTGAGGACCTGATGGAATGTACTAAAGTAATTGCACACTACACGTTGACTAATGTAATAACAAGAAAAACATTTTATGAGTACTTAAGGTCTTATTAGCAAGCAAATTAGTAATAGAATGTTACTTATTGCTTATTTATTTAGGATTCCTCTAAATAGGCCGAAAGTCATATAGAATAGGAAGACCCTTCTGGTTTTCTAATACAAGAACCCTTTGCTTCTGTTCTGTGTTACGTGTAAAAGCTGGCTAAGCAGGGTGTCAAACTTGGAAACGACATTCTCGTAGGGAGAGAAAAAACAAATCTTGCCTAATCCTCCCCTATCACAGATGTTCATATTCTATCCCAAATAATGTTCACATTTTGATTATCTTCCCCTTTAAACTTTTTTATGCTTGCTTTTATTTCATTGTTGAGCTCAAATAGCTCTTTTCTGTGATAGTGAATGTAGGAGAAATGTCTGAAATAGCTTGATTTTCATATTTATCTAGTTTTAAAAATCTTAATTGCCATACTTTATATTACAAACTGAACCACTGTGAAGGTTCAAAAGATGTTCTGGGAAATCTGTTAGGAAGTATTTTGATTTTTATTAGGATGAATTGTTTGACTTTTAGATAGATTTATAGATACCTATGTAAATTGTTTTTTGTTTGTTTGCTTTTAGCTGATCACATATGGTTCTGATAGAACTGAAGCACTGAAGAGAATGGAAGATGCACTGGATAATTACGTTATTCGAGGTGAAAACAAACGTTTGGGGTCTTATTATTATACATGGTGTCCAGTTCTAGAAAACAGCTTGAAGATACACTAGAGAATTCAGTAGAAAATGTGGTTACTGTGTGTTTAAATAGAAATAAGAAAAACTTGAACTAAACTGACATACTAATTAAGAATAGGTATTTCATTTTCTTTAGCAGCCCTATACTTTACATATATACCTTCAATTATTTAATTAACCTTATGATTCATGACCTTTCCTAGATAAGCATTTAGTATTTTATGTACTGTATGGAAAATGGTTCTAATATTCTGAAGTCTGTTATTGGCCAGTGCAGCAAATTAGCGATTTATTGTCTTTTGTCATTGTCAATGATGTTTTGTAGCATGAAACTTGAAAATGCATGGAGATATAAAATACAGTGACCTGCAGTTGACTAATTTGGGAGTAGAGGGAATAGCCCTTTGTGTCTATAAGAGCAAGTTATAAAATATTCTCTAGCAAATGCAATTTTGTTACCTCATGTACATACAGGTCAGTACTAATGCTTAAGAAAGTGTGATCCTACAAGCCTTTAGGATGTAAAGCAATAATTGAATTAGGAGCAACCATTTTACTTTTATATGTATATATAAAAGATTTTATCTTTAAGTAATCTCTACACCCGGTGTGGGGCTGAAACTTACAACCCTGAGATCAAGAGTTGCATGCTTCACCAACTAAGCCAGCCAGGTGCCTCACAGCCATTTTATTTAAATAATGAAAGCAAAGTTATACTTACTCCCCTTAAGGAGTAAATTATGTTGTAAACTGTATTAGCAACTTTTCATTAGTCGTGAAAAGATCATTTCATTTTAATCCAACATAAATTATCATCAACTTCAGAAAAATGGGAGTTTAACATTAAATTTAAAGTGTAAAATATAAGTTCACTTTGTGTTATAAGTGAATAGTGTGGGTCTAAGAACATTCCAGGGGAAGGACTGGTCTGGGTAGTTTTGCTCTTTTTTCATGGCTCTTTAAAACAGTGGAACTAGGAGGCTAGAATTTGGAGGCTGAGGGGTTAGAACAGTGGTGGAGTATGATTACCTGGCCCCCATCAAGCCCATACAGAGCTTTATGCAGTTTCAAAAAGATTCCCTTCAAGGGGACACAGCCTGTAGGTCAGAAGGCTTGGCAAGTGGAATACAACTTTGTGTGAATTAGATAAAGTGCTCTTTTCTCAGAGTGTATTCAGCCCTGAGACAGAGAGCCCAGCTTAGCAATGTAGCATGTCAAACCCTTACTCTGCACCGTTGACCCAGTGCTTTTGTGCAGTAAACAGTTCATACAGTGGTACAGTAGTGGTTCAGGACAGTTGAGTGACTTTATTTATTTTTTTGAGAGCATGAGTGGTGGGATGGGGTGGTGGCCAGTTGTGGGGAGGGGCAGGAGAGAAGGGAGAGAATCCCAAGCAGGCTCCATGCTGACACGGGGGCTCCATCTCATGACCCTGAAATCACCCCCTGAGCCAAAATCAAGAGTCAGATGCTTAACTGGATGAGCCACCCGGGGGCCCCTAGAGACTATTTTTACATTTCTCTGCTCATTTTTGTCTATGGTGATTAATAGTCATCCAGTCCTCACTTTTCCTCAGTTTTTTCTCTTGTTAGATCTGGAGAAATTTCTTCCCTCCTTTTCCTTTTACTGTCACTCTCTTTTCTTAACATTTGTTAACTAACAAGTAACAGTGATTGTATCTAACCTTATGGGCTAGTGATTCACCTTTGTCAATGGAAAGAAAACAGTAAGCTCTCAAGTGAACTCAGATATAATTAAAAAAAAAAATACATTGGTAACATCAGTATCCAAAGCATACACACATCTGAAAAATCCTCTTCACATTCTTTTTAGCTCATTCTCTAGTTCTTTTTCAGCTTGAATTGTGGAGTATTTTTTATATATATATATTTAACTCTGCCGTGTTCCGCCATAAGCAGCATTTTTTCTCTAAATATTGGTTAAGTAGGCCTGGAAGGGTCTGTTTTCCTTAGAAATAATATCCCACCAAATGTGTGTTTGAAACACACATCTAATTTGGGTGTTTGTCTCTGTGTGTTTAACTACACACAAATAGACATAAACAAGGTACTTGGGGATATTATTCCCAGAGGCCTTTAAAGTATTTGTAAGAGTTTTCTAGATTCCTACCCCCAGCCAATATTTTTGTAATTTTTATTCTGGTTGTTGAATTATTAGATTTTGGTTAATTTGGGTTTTGCTCTAATGAGCTTGAGTGGTAAATTCATGAATTTGAGATAGTCAATTTGACAAAGAATGTTTTGTCAAATCACATCTCTATTAAACTTTGATGTAACGCAGTGGCATGGCATATGGGCAGTTTGTCAAAATATTAGTGTTGTATTCGGCTCTGGCTTCTGAAAGGAATACTCTTTCATATTTATAGAATACACTGCCATGTTTTGTATTTAAATGAATGTTCGCCATTTTACTTTACATCATATATTCACTAGTTACTACATTTTTATTTATTTAGTTTTTAAAGATTTTATTTATTTATTTGCCAATGAGAGACCCAGCGAGACAGGGAACACAAGCAGGGGGAGTGGGAGAGGGAGAAGCAGGCTTCCTGCTGAGCAGGGAGCCCGATACAGGGCCCGATCCCAGGACCCTGGGATCATGACCTGAGCCGAACGCAGGCGCTTAATGACTGAGCCACCCAGGTGCCCCTGTTTTATTTTTTTTTTAAAGATTTTATTTATTTGACAGAGAGAGAGGGAGAGGGAGCATGAGCAGGGCGAGGGGCAGAGAGAGAAGCATGCTCCCCACTGAGCAAGGAACCTGATGCAAGGCTAGATCCTAAGGTCCCGGATCATGACCTGAGCTGAAGGCAGATGCTTAACCTAGTGAGCCACCCAGGTGCCCCTAGTTACTACATTTTTAAATTAAGTGACTTAAATACAGATGAGTAGGCTTGCTGTTACTCTCCTAACTTTATATGTATCATATGTAATATAAAATGTGTTTCATTGAGCAGATAGTTTTTTTCCATGCTTAGTATGAAATTTCTGCTTTTGGTTCACTGTTGTACAATAGAAAGAAATCAGACAGTCCTGGGTTCCTATCCTGTCCTGACACCATGTAGTAACTATGTGATTTTCAACATCTTGAGGAACCTCCACACTGTTTTCCAGAGTGGCTGCACCAGCTTGCATTCCCACCAACAGTGTAGGAGGGTTCCCCTTTCTCCGCATCCTCGCCAACATCTGTCATTTCCTGACTTCTTAATTTTAGCCACTCTGACTGGTGTGAGGTGGTATCTCATTGTGGTTTTGATTTATGTTTCCCTGATGCCAAGTGATTTTTTTTTTTAAGATTTTTATTTATTTATTCATGAGAGAGAGAGAGGCAGAGAGAGAGAAAGGCAGAGGGAGAAGCAGGCTCCCAAGGAGCAGGGAGCCCGATGTGGGACTCGATCCCGGGACTCCAGGATCATGACCCGAGCCGAAGGCAGACGCCCAACCATCTGAGCCACCCAGGCGCCCCCAAGTGATGTTGAGCATTTTTTCATGTGTCTGTTGGCCATTTGGATGTCTTCTTGGCAGAAATGTCTGTTCATGTCTTCTGCCCATTTCTTGATTGGATTATTTGTTCTCTGGGTGTTGAATTTGATAAGTTCTTTATAGATTTTGGATACTAGCCCTTTATGTGATATGTCATTTCATTGCACCCTGTTCTGCTTCTTCAAAGCATTTACCGTAACTGTAATTAAAATATTAGTTGTCTAATTGCTAAGTGTTGGATTATCTCATAAGAAAATTAGGTGCGTGAGGGCAGTGATGGTGTTTATCCTGTTTACTTGTATATTAATAGCGCTTAGCAGTGCCTGACACATGGTAGGTGAGTAATATTTGTTGAATGAATTAATGAGTGACAATATCCCTATTTCAAGGAGTTCCTAGTAAACTTGATATGAAACAGACAGAAAGATAACGTGAATTCATAGATGCCATAATGGTGGAGTAAAAAAATATTTTTCTTTCCTCACCTCTGTATTTGGTTCTTTGAAAGTAATGTGAGCACTGTCTTAGGACTTACATGTTACTCTGTTGAGAGTACCTCACTTTGTGCTTCCTTTGAACGGCTCCCCAGAGTGGCAGCATTTTCTAAAAGACTGATAACTCACTGTGGAGGGGAAATACAGGGGCTGGGCACACTTGGGAGTGTTTGGAGTATGGCTTGCTCTTATCTTTTGGGAAAATGATTGGCATTGGATGTTAAAAGTGCATGCTCTTTGACCTACCTGTTCAGTCTTTAGGAATCTTATCCTACAGAATTAAAAGACTGAATTGTGAGGTAATGTTAATGAGGACATTTGACAGCATTGTTTACAGTAGCCCAAATTCTAACCAACCGAGGTGTCCATCAAATGGATGGACTGAAAGAATTACTATGCATCTTCAGTGTAAGTTACTACTTAGCTGGTACTTGAAGACATGTCCTTACATTAAATAGGAAGGCAGTTTGCAGAGTAAGGTATGGTGCAGTCTGACGTTAGTTAAGCCACCTTCCCATCCTACAATATCTTTACTGTTTTTGGATGAGCATAAAGATGTGGATGTATACACATCATATCGAAATATATATATATAGTTCGCTCGAAAGGTTTATCGGAAGTTTGTTTTCTCTCGATATATTGCCTGCAGGCTTTTTATTTTAGGTATTTTCAAACCTAGAGAAAAGTTGAATAGTACATTGCACACCTGTATGCTCTTCACCTAGATTCCTAAGCTTTTCTATATCTTTTTTTCCTCCGTCTCTTCCTTCTCCCTTTCTTTGCCTTCTCCTTTCTCCTCCTTTTGGCTCTTCTTCCTTCCCTTCCCTCCTTGTTTTTTTCCTCAACTATTTGAAAGAAAGTTGCAGACGTCATGACACATGACTCCTAAATATTTCAGTATGGATCATTTTCCTTCAGAATCACAATACCATTATCACACTCAAGAAAATTAACAGGAATCT